CACTTGTTGCCTCACAGGTCGTTATCTCTTCTTGCTGTCTATCTTCTGCTGCGAACTAAGATTCTCTTTCTAAAACACAATATAATCATGTCACTCTCTTGCTTAAAATTTCTTACTAATGTTCATCACTTAGAAGAGAATTCAAATTCCTCAGCGTGGCACACAAGGGCAGGTCTGCCTAATTCCTGTGCTTCTCTCCCACCCACAATGCCTTTGCTGACTTGCTCTCCCATGGAGGGGTAGGGGAACCCCATCTCCCTTCTACAAATCCCAACTCATCCTTTCAAGTCTACTCCACAAAACCTCCCTGATCCCCCACAGCAGTCAGCTGCCCCCTGCTCTTTGCCCATTCTGACAATCTAAAACTTGTCGCACTGCAATATTAGCCTTCCGTCTCCTTCACTAGACTGTGAGCTCTTTATAGGGAGGAACTTCTGTCTTGTTTATCTCTTTATTACCAGAGCCTAGCAAGGTATCTGGCTATAATAAGCAATAGTAAATACTTGTAGAAGGAAGGAAAGAAGAAATTGGTCTTTATTATAAAGTACCCCCCAAAACTAGGAAATAAAATTTTCCGAACTTTTCTAGTAAAAACCCACATATAATGGCTGAAATTAGCCACCTGAAGAAGTCATCCACCGACCTAAGGCAGGTCCCTCTTGAGAAAGAAAGTCCCCAAATTCTTTCCTTTCCTCTCACTCCATCACCTGTCATAGTTTCATCTCCTCTCACAGCCTAGAAGCTGCTCCCTGTATTTCACCACCTCAACTATTCTCCTGCTACTCCCTCAATACTCTAGCCTCCTTATCTTTCTGCCACTGCTTCTCAGCAACCCTCTGCCTTAGGTCAATCTAACCACCTGCCTTCCCTGCTTCCGCAGCCAGGCTATGAGCATTGCTGGAGGAAATCCACACACCTGGGGATTAGAGCCACACAGATTCAGTCTATGACCTCAGATGACCTTTCAACATTATCAGGCAGTATTTTATCTGTCTCCTGTTGACCACTATTGCTATTCGCCAAATCTGGGGAATATTCTCAAGCCCCCCAATGCCTCTTCACCCACCCCACTCCTCTCAGCCAAAAACCCTACCTCCTACTTCCCTGCAAAAGCTGAGCCCGCTCAGGAAGACAGCCCCTTCCTTGTGTAAGCTAACAGCAGTTCTGCATCTGACTCCTGTCTCCACAGAAACGTGATTCATTGGCTATCCTCTTTCTCCTGAACCTATCCACTGGGTCTTTCTCCTCCTGCCTCTAACATCTTGAAACAAAACAAAATGAACAAAGAAAACCTACTTCCATCTTATGCAAGATCTTCTAGGTTTCATTCACCCCTCATTTCCCTTAACAGTCAAGTTTCTTTAAAAATATTTTT